GGACGTGTAAGTTACGAAACAGTCTGGGACAGTGGCTGGAACGAAAGTTTTACGAACTCGTCTGAACACGGTAAACAAGATTCCCTGTTGATCTTGGTCGTTTTCCAAGGCGGGACTTTTATCGCGGAAACGGCACGGCAGTTCGAAATCGCGACTAAACTCCCTAGATCGTCGGGGGACTTGGTATTCCGGTTTGTCTTGGCGACTGATCTCGAGAAATCTCGCCGAGTGAAGAGGATATCGAGCCGATGTTTTAGCGCTGCGAAGCTCAGCCAGTTGGTTCGTTCTTGCTCGTTCTTGTTCGTTCGCAGCGGCACCGATAAATCCCACTTACAGTTAGAAGCCGAGTAACCGGGGCCACGGCTCGCCCAAGCCTTCCGTGTTGCCATGGAGGAGCAGAAAGCGATGCAAAACGGCGAACACTCCGTTGAAATCGGCTCCCCCGCGCCCGTCGATGCAAAGCAGAAGAAGCTAGAGACCGTGAGCACGGGAACGGGGTGCCGTTGCATCGCTAAGGAGATTGGAAGCTGGAATTTACGTGCGAAATAGCACTTGTCGTTCGACGTGTTTCCTTTCCACCTCGTTCCTCGCTCTTTTCTCTTCGTACCTTTCCCCTCCTCGACGTCATGTCATTCTTTCACAACCTTTTACCTTCACAGCTTTCATCGTTCGAATCCTCTCGGTCTAGCTCTACTGATTTCACGCGGTTCACCGCGATGCTTTCACTGATTTTCGAGGGAGCCAATTAGACGCTGTTATCGCGTAGATATTTCTTCTTGGGTGATCGATATCAACGATTCGACCTGTTTGGTTGAGAGTATATTGTACATTTGTAACGTTTACAAATGTGCAGTGAATCTATGTATTCGTGAATTCGATGTATATGTGTAAGGGAAATTACTATTTATTATTAGTAATTTCCATAATTTGCCAAGTAGTAGTTAATGATAGAAAGAGAGAGATAACGACTAATAGAAGGGGACAAACGATAGAGTTATATAATAGAAGACACGTGAAAATGAAGATAGTAAAAGGTAGTCTAAAAGTTTAAAAAAAAAAATAATTAAGAATAGATAGACAAGAGCTAAGAAGTGTATATAAATAAGTAAGAACTTTTCGCTTCCTTTTGCTACCATGCAAAGCTATCATGCTCTCAGCTACATAAAACTCGCACGGCAAATTGGAATTACGAAAATTACTAATGATAAATAGCAATTTTCCTTACATATTCGTTTATTTTGTTATCGATTAACTTTACGAATGCGTTCTATGTTCATCTGGAGCGGAAGTTAGACGCTTATATAATTCACATTATCTACAATACCAACTATTCACGTATTACATGAAATACATCGTACGGAATTCAATCTAATCTTCCGTAGCATACAACAAATATTTCTTGCATCGCGGACCACGACCTGGCGACGACCGTTTCGAAATTGTTGGAGTTAGGTTACAGCCAGACTTCGACTTCTTCCGATCCTCACTGTTCCAGTTCTAATTGCAGCTGAGAAACCAGAGACGAGAATTGGTAAACTTGCCACTGTGTTCCGCAGTGGTTCGGGTAGGGTGCGTCAGGCGAAATAAAACACCGGCGTAACTGTTGTGCACTTTAAAATTTAAATTGCGCGGATTTACGTCGGCCGTCGGTGAAATATGATAACCGACCTGCCATCCAGGAGAAAGTCACTTTAACCGTATTTTTTCTCCTTCCCTCCAGATATTGTTTCTCTCGGTTTTGTTTCTCACCCTCTCTACATTCGCAGACGTGGCTTTCGCGCCGGTGAGTGATTTGCAAAGTTATTGGGACACGTTTCCAACGGAATTCTCGGAGAAAGAACTTAAAGAACGAGTAGACTGTCACCGTTCACCGTCGGATTAAAAGAGTAAACAAAATCTGGAGAGGATAAAACTTCGTCTTTGTACGATTAGAAATTAACGTAGGACTTCTGGTAAGGTGCCGTTTATCCAAATTTATTTTCTTTAACCCTTAAATGCCCTAAGTTTTCAAATATCATACCTAAATCGAATCGTACACTTTCAATTGATTTGTTTTCAACATTTGTATGTATGTTACCGTTACATAATTCTTTCGAACAAAAGTTAGAAAAATAAACGCAACCTGTCAAAATTTAAATTTAATTTTGAAAAATCAGGCGTCTAAGGGTTAATATCCGATCTTTTGAAAATAATTTCTCAAGTTTCTTAGCGAAGAGCCTTGTCGCCCATAGCTAGCGTTATGCTTTCCAACCACGCCTAAATAGTAATATATGTATAAAAAAAAGCACGGGAAATTTTCCTATTTTCCCCTATGATCGTCTTTCCTCTGACTCTTGGTCTCATTTTCAGAGCCAATGAGGGCGCAAAGAGTGTCCTTCAGCCCCACACTATCGGTCCCAGACCTCTTCAACGAACGATACCGATTTTCGATTTCTCGTCTCGCGAGTAGAGCCTCCCTTGGCGAACGAGCGCCACGGTTAACCCTTCGTTTCGCGACTGTGCTCGTCTTAGGTTGGATTTTAAGGGACGTCTCGACGATAATCAAGCCTCGAGTAACTCCGTTTAACGCTCTAAGCCTCTACAAGCGTCGCGGTTTCGGCGTTGTCTCGGCTTGTAAACGTCTCCCGGGCGTCTTCGATCGCTTCGATGCAAGTTATGAATACCTTAAGATCCCTAACCGCCTGGATGCCGGAGAACAGGGCGCGATCGCGCCCTAACATTGGCGCTGCAGCGACCCAATTTCTCGAAATCGAATTAATTTCTTCTTTATTCCTCAACCATCCTTGTCATCGTTCTTCTCCCTTATCTTGCAAACAGTTATTCGTCATTAAGGTTCGCTCGTCGATGCGTCAACATCTCACGTTGCATGTAACAATCTGTGTTTTAGACTAAAGGAAATATTATATTTTAGGAAGACTCGAAAGACGTTGTTTAAAGGAAAATAAAGCTTTCATCCGACTGGAGCGTTTCGTCTTGGTACCGGAAGTTCTCGTAAGTAAGGCTCTTTCGGTAATCCTTGCCTCGGAGGCAATTTGTCCTCGCAGCAGAAAACTCCAACGTTTTCAGTTGGAATCAACTGGTTACCGAACCTTTCGAGAAACAAGTTCAGCACTCGGCCCTTGCAATAAGCCATCTACGAGTGAAAATCATTCAAGCCGATGTTAAGTACAAACACAGAATTATATTACCCTTAGCAACGGGATTACTAGAAGAGAGCCGCGTAATTCGTGTTGTAGGAATTCTTTGAAGACTGACAGACATTTTCTTGCAACTCGTTCATGTCTCACTATTTCTCGCCAATTCTACTTGCAGAAATTCTACATCGTAAATATTGTCTGAGGCACAATACAACTCGTTCATGTCTGACCATTTCTTGCCAAGTCTACTTACAGAAATCCTACTTCGTAAATATTGTGTGGGGTACAATACAACTCATTCCCTGTCTAGATGAACACATTCTTAAGACTAATCAAAATGAGTTACGAAAGATAATTCCATGCTACTACTGTTATAAATGTCGTCGCAAGTAGAAATTCCAAGCAATGGTCAGACAATTCTTTGTACCCGTGCCACGCAAACTTCCAGACTCGCGTTCTAACAACCAGAGGCTCGCATCGAAAAATGTTACCCCACGTTTTCGATAGGTCTTCGCACAAAGAATCGCCCTGCGTTAGTCGTGCTACCCTTTTCACATCGCTATGCCGAGGATCGAGGTTTTACTTACGACACAAAGCAGCACATAGTATCTCTACGTTATCATAGTGTTTACGTTAGCGACGATAGACGTAGAAGGATAGTAATTCGACGGTATAAAACCAGCGTGTACGTAGCCATACGTATTCCGTATACCAACGATGACCCATCAGCAAGACTTCGTACGAATAAAACGGTTCTCGCGTTATACGAGCGGAAAAGTTGTCTGGATCACGGGGATACAAGGGACCGTGAGCGCTTTCCTCGAACACGGGAATCGTTTCCATCGGTCGTTCGGTTTTATACCGGCCCCGTTTTACACTACGAGGAGGGCAGAAATCGTCGTCTTTATCTAGTTCGCGACGTTGCGTCTCCGGCGGCGCGCGCCAGCTGAATCGAACGCGGACGCGTTTCGAAACGCATCGCGAGCCAATGACGGGCGGGTTACGTTCGTTTTATAACCGCTGCGTATGGCGATGCGCGCCATAGCCGATAGTTCCGGTACGTTACACGCGAACGGAATCAACCCCGACGCGCGTATTCGTACGAAACTTCCCGACTGAACAGAATTCCGCCATCACGTAACTCTGTTTACGATTCCCCGATGGCGTTTAACGCGACCGGTATTCAGAGATTGTCATTTACCGAAAACCGATAACGATCTTTCTCTCGCCTATTCCGCGCGCTCGTGTCGTTTAGCTTTCCCTCCTCTACTCTTTACAACCTTCTCTAATCATTTCGATACAGGGCTCTCGTCGAGTAACAGTGCCGTTCGACCAACGATGCTCGAAGGAGCGGCGAGGTTGTTTCGTATGGACTCGTCTGAGGCGATGGAGGACTCTCGAGGGATGAACGATTACGGTTGTGGCGAGTTTCGAACGGGAATGGAGATTTTTAGTATCGCGTGGTGAATTTTACGAGAGGGTGTGACGTGGCGAGAGGAAGAAATTGCCGTTGGTTCGGAGGAATTGAGGTTGAACTCTGGGTGTTAGGGGAGGAACGATCTGTGTTGTCGTTTGTTTATTTATTTATGGGTTTGGTGAACTGTAAAAGGGAATAAGAAAGGGAGGTCAACTGGAAGGCTGTCTAGGGATAATAAAAAAGAATAGCTACAATTTTATTTCAGGTTTTTTGTTAAATAACAAAGGCGTATCCCAAAGTGACCGAATGTTATCTAACATATTTTGATTGTCGAGTTTGTGTAGCCTCTCCCCTCGTGCCTGTCACTACCCCCCGAACTCGGGAGGAATTCGTGGACCGACACGCAAGTCCGAAACATCCTTTCAATGCAAGGATGCATTTCCCACCTCTGGATGGGGTGATGGTCGAAAGGGTGGAGGGGAGCTAGACAAAGTAGCTTCTCGGGACCTTCCTTCCCATTATCTGTGCTTGGCCGTCCGCTCACCCAGCATGCATACAAAGCAGTATTTATAGCCAGCGTAGCGGCTCACGGCCTCGGAGGGCCGAGTTGAACAAATATTCATCCCCCGAAGTCGAAACACGATCGCCCCGCTTGCCAGTTTCTCACCCATCCTCTCAGTTTCGAGGCCTCGAGGATATCGTCGAGGCTCTTTTGCTCGTGGAGCACGGATCGCCGCCTTCCTGTCTCGCTTGGTTCCCTGGTTCCAGTTCGTGTGCTGTTATGGTTTGCATACTGATTCCGTCATCGTAATCATCTTAAGTCATGGTTTTACATAAATATTGGCCAAGTAAGATGGTAGCTCAACGATAACGTACAGAAATTGCACTGTGCAGGCTAGAGTTCAATTCTTCTGTAGAAAGAGCATTCTTTTTTTCGATTTATCTAATTTCGTTTCGAAGAAGCTTCATTGAATACTTAAAACCAGAGCTGTAAATTCTTAATTACCATTACGTAATGATTACTTTGACCAATCAATTAAATAATTGCCATCACAATTACTCTGTCACATGTATAACGGTATTCGGAACTACTTAACTACTATCAGTAATTCGAGTTACTGGTAGATACCAGAAAAAAAGGTCTCGAGTGCAAAGGGTTAAATTGACAAAATATAATACGCCGCAGCGAACACGCCAGAAGACGTTAGATTCCCCTCTTATTCTCCGTTGGAATGGAACTTCCCAAGAAAATAATTACCGACGTAACAACGACCAAGTGGAATAACTCTCCGCCAGCAGGAATTTATTCCAAAACCTCTGCAAGTTTGGGAGCGCGAACGAATTAATCCTACGGATAGTAAATCGTCGGGGAAAGTTCGAATTTCCACGAGTCCCTGTTGTTTTTCGCGGAAAGTTCGCAAGTCCGAAATCCTAAATGCACACAGAGCTTACGCACGGATGATCCCGACGATCGGTTTCTAAACGATACAGGATTTATTCCAGCGATATTTGAGAGACCGAGCGCTGGCGGACGCACATAGAAATAAGCGAGTTACGAGTTTGACAACCGAACGTATTAAACTCGGACGGCTTAGAGTTTCGACAGTTACGATATTACGGAATCGTACCTCCAACGGAATTAACTTGCGCAAATGTTCGACTGGCACTGACTGCGAGGTGGAAAGTAGATTTCGATAACATCGAGCTTAAACGCGAAGAGGGATAAGTTGTTGAAACACCGTTTAACCGTTTGCGCATCGTGTAATTATTAGCAGAACTTGGGTGAGTTTTATTCAAAAAATATTTTGAGAGGATGAAATAGGACGATGGTACGTTACTGGCGAGATGTAATGGAAAGCAGGCATTCCACACCATCGACAGACCTGAGGGATACAAGTTAAGTACTTGACCAGAATCGACAGAGTCAGAATTCATCATTCCAGATATATAGGTTTTTAAAATATTGTGTTACGATTAATATAGCCAAGGTTCACTCTAATCCATTTCTGGTAGGAGAAGCAGATTTGACATGCAGAAGATTCTTCTAAAAAGCACTTAAAAAAAAAAACAGCCTCAACCCTGAGAAACTTGATTTTCCAAATTAAATTTAAATAAGTATCAATGTATTTATTATTTGAACAATCGAAAGCATTATCCAATGGTAACATACATACAGCCAAATATTAAAAACAAACCAATCGCAAGTGTAAAATTCGATTTAAAAGTCCGTTATCAAATGTGGACCATGGAACTTAAATAAAATATTAAATTCTAAATAACCGCGAGCAATTTATTCACAGCAAAGATGAGATACCAAAAGCCAGTAAAAATGAAACGAAATTGGCTCGAGAATACATTAAGAACATAATTACAGCGTGAAGGTTGATTCTCTCCTCTGGCGTGAGCATCGAGCACCTTCCATATTCGTTGCGCAATATATTCTCCCAAAAACAGCGCGTTTCCTCTGCACGTCCTCGTTATAACAAACCTTTGGAACGTCCAAACAGTGGCACGCATCGCTGGCTGCGAGTGCTGAGCGAACATTTTTTAATAAAATCGCAGCGAGAAATCACGGAACCGTCCATAGCGAAGCTCACGTGGCGCGAATAGCGAACACGCGGCACGCGACGTCCGCTCGAACGAAAAGAATCTTCGAAACGACCCCGCACGCTGTCGGCGAATTCCATCGCTGGAATTTGAATTTGATACTGCAAAATGCTCAACGGGCCAACAGGTAGAACGACTTCCCGGGTCCTCGAGTGCTGCATTGCCAAGATTCTTCCGCGCCAGCCGTGACGAGATTGTTCCATGCCTTCCATTCGAAGAATCATAGAGGATCTCGCAGAGTCGGACTTTCCTCGACCCTTCCCACCACCCCGTCTTTCCCTTTATCTATCCACTCGTTCGTTTGTACGAATCGTTTCCGGCGACCCCCTTTTTCCAAACCGATTTACCGCCTCGCTAGTGTGCGTTATTTCAGCAATCTGGTTGCGCTCAACCAGATAACTTTACATTTAAACGAAAAGTAGATCCGAAAGTCTCGCTGCTGGATTGGTTGGTGTAACGAATTACTGATTGACTACGGCGTGTTTCGACTGCGCGGAGTGTAGCATTCGAGCATTGCATCGGATGTATTTTGGTTGAGTGGACGTTGTTCTAAAAATAAAAGTTCTTTTAACGAAAATTTCCGGAACCGTTTGTTTGTTTCGAGCGCTGGAATAAATAGTGTCTAAAGACATTGAAACATAAATGTATATAAAGTAGAACGCGTTTATGAAAAATAAAATATTAACGTCGTTGGGTTGTTAATAATAAATTCGAGTAATTGCAAGCGAATTTCGCGATAATTTCTTTAGAATGTGTATATACACCAAAGCTTCCATTTATTACAGGAATTAAAGTTACAAATTTGGCCAGGTCACATTTTGTTATAGAGTAGAGCAAGGCCAGATTTGTAAAATGGCGCGGTGCACCGGGCCGCTGTAACGTTGGAATAACTGCAAGATTTGCATTACGTTTGACCGACGCACCGAGCCAATCAACGTGCAAATATGGATAAGCCGCTCGAGTTTTTCCAAAGTACGACCCCCGTCGTGGGCTCGTATAATTTTTAATGCAAATTATTCCCAGGTCCTCGCGATACCCGGCTTGCTTGCGATTTCCGTCTTTACCTTCTTTCAAAAATCATTTCCCGTTCGACCGTCGAGATAACGAGAACTTCTTCGGGGTAAATAAATAGAGGGCAGATCTTGCGACGATTTGCGACGAATCTTGTTAGCTCGACGGGTCATTCAACAAAATTTATTTCAACTGTAGAGTCAAGGATATTGTATTAAAAGTTAGGCTAGGTGACGTTATCTAGATGTATATAATAATAATAAATCCTCAAACATTTTTTAATCCGAAATGGAATGAAATGAGATTTACTATCATTTATTTTCATTTCTACGAGATTGTTGGTCCATGCTGTACGTAATAAAATAACCGAGGAACTAGTATTATTATTATTGTAATTAATAGTGAAATATGTAATTCTGTATTAACGATTGAAGGTACCCCTCGATTTTCTTCTGACAATTTCGTATTCGCTTTTTCCTCAACACTGATAGGACGTTAATTAAGGAGAACCTTCGCGTGATACGGCCGCTCGATCCTCTCGATACTCGATAGCAGAGAAGGAAATTTCATTTCCCTCGTTTACAGCATCCAACGCCGATCCGGCGTCTCGGCTGCGTCAACCTTTGAGACAATCTGCGAGCCGTGCCTCGGGGAAGATAACTAAACGGACTCGTTACAAAACGGAACATCCAATTGTTAAATATCCGTGGCTGGGATTACTTTGGACTTTGTACTTAAATTGTACTCACTGCCGCATCGAATGGAGACTCTTATCACTTGTCCACAGTAATTCTACTTGATCTTTTAATTTATCAAAGACTTCATCAAGACTGAGTGTTTATAACCTCTAGTTTATATTTTAACTGGATAACAGTTTCTCAAGTATTATTTCGTTTAACATAGCAGTTGCGACATCGAGCGCGCGTCAACTTCGAATTGACAACCGAACTGACCAATACAGGTTGCCGCATATCGTATTACAACGACACCTAGGAGACGGCAACCGAACCGACAAACAAATTAGTATAACCTGCTACATAACAGGGGCTCCTCGCGCCTATGAGATGGCAACCGAACCGACAAACCGGCCAGTGAAGGTTGCCGCATAACAGGGGCTCCTTTACGCCTACGAGAGGACAACCGAACCGACAAACAAATTAGTATAACCTGCTACATAACAGGGGCTCCTCGCGCCTATGAGATGGCAACCGAACCGACAAACCAGCCAGTGAAGGTTACCGCATAACAGGGGCTCCTTTACGCCTACGAGAGGACAACCGAACCGACACACACGCTAGTATCGGTTAGCATACAACAGGGGCACCTCTGCGCCAACGATGTAGCAACCGAGATTATAAACTAGCTAGCATCGGTTGGCATCTAACAAGGGCATACTCCGTGCCTACTTGGTGACAACTAAATTTTGGTGTACTTTCAGGCCGCGTCAGTTTTCAAAGTTACGAGACAATCTAAACTGTTATCATTTTTTACCAGACCACCTTAATCAAACCAGTTCAATATACATTTACATCTATGTACATTCTGTTATTATATTTTAAAACACACATGTAAAACAATCCCTTTCGACAAGATTCTTTCGATCTCTTGGTTCTCCCTTGTCCCTCGTTCCATCGTGTTAACCAGTACGCGAAAGAGTAGCGGATTTATTTCAAATTAAAATCAATATCCATCACAGGCCACTCCTAACCATGGCAGTCGGGTTTATTGAAACTGCGTGGCTTTCGTGCAATTTCGCAGAGCTTTGCTTTAATCCCGCAGGACATGTCTTTGCCCCTCTTGCTCTCGCGCCTGGAGCCATCTCTCGCTTCCTCCCAATCGCTGGGTCTCCTTCTTCCGTTGACGTTGCGACGCTCGTCGATCTCTGGCATGCTCGACTCCCCCTGCCCCTTGATCCTGTCGTAGGCTCATTTCCATTCCATCAACGCGCGCTCATGGTTGCATTTTTGAAAATCCTCGGACGAATGAAACTTTCCTTGCGCAATGGAAGTTAAATTTGTTTGGTATAGCAAATGGAAGAAAATCCTTTTAATTTGTATTCACATTAATTTTACTACGAATTTCTACATAATACGACGCACAGTAAGATATTATAGCTTTCCATATTTATTGCAAAAGCTCCCAAAAATGAAATGCTTTCAACTCCGGCGCCTGGAGTGACTTCCACTTACAATAATAATATATCACGATTACTCACCATCGGAAACCCTGGCTTTCTTTTCTAGAAATTAGGAATCTTCCTCTCAAAAGGGTCAAGAACTTATCCAGACAACTAGCGACCGTGCGCCGGCGATTCCTGTCACGTTTTTGAATCGCACGGCTCTTGCCAGGCGTGGACAGAACCCTCCACGGAATTCCATAAGGCACATACTGCTGGAAGGTAGAATTTCATTATCGACCAAGGTGCCAGCTAAACCGATCGGAAAGAAGGTCGAGGCGCACGAGGGAACGGGCTCGTATTCAGCCAGGGAACAGGGAGAAGTGGATGAAGGGCGGGGTTAAGTGGGTTATAGGGGTGCGAGTGAATAATTCTGCTTTACGATCACGAGGAAAGATTGGCCCCGATCGTTCCCGAGCTCCCTCTGTCTGTAAACGGGACTGCGATTCCTGAGAGACGCGGACCGTCCCGTGGGAACACGGAGAGCACGCCCCAGGAATTATAAAACGCGGAATGAACATACCCATTCCGTGACCCTGCGGCGCGGGTAAAGAACCGCGAAACGAGTGCGTTTATCAACTTTCAACGAGGAGCTGAGCAGGACTGTGAATAAATAATTTGGTTTCTTCGTAACGCGGTAACGCGAAACCATTTTTCATTCGGTGGTCTGAGGCGAGTTTCTCCCAGTGTAAATCGTATTTGTTAGGTAATTGTTAGGTAGGAAAAGGTATACCAGCAACAGCTCATATTTTTAAAACGGTTTGGTTAAAAACGATAACAGCGTTTAGTTTGCTAGATATGATCGCTTGAATTTCGTGATTTTTCGTGACATTAGACACGAGGCTTATGGTTATAAACGACGGAAAAAAGAAATTATGCATGATAATCTTTGACTGCAAAACAAATTGTACAATACAGACCGAAACCAAAAATGAACGATAAGTAAATCAATTATTGTGTAATTTTTACTCCTCCTCGCTAAAATAGAGATACACTTTAATATACAGGGTGCGGCAGAAAATTTGACCTCTAAGTTGTATTCGTCCTAGCACGAAAGCATTTCAAGTTTAGAATTTTGTCACATTTCCTGTACAAAAAGTGATTGTTCTAGTATTTAAAAAATACTCTATCATTGCTCTATCACCTAGCATCTAGATTAGTAGTATTCAAAGACTAGATTGCAAAGAACACCATGAATTCATCGTGGCACGATCGGTATGTTACATATTTCGTTTCGCCTAAGCGGAACAGGCTCTGAATCGATGAAAGCATGGTCGGATCGGCTCGAATTGCCTTTGCCGCATCACAATAGACGTAAAACAATTCTGTCTCGTTTGATACGGCTAGAGGGAACGATTCTAGGGCAATTCCTGTCGCTTAAAACTCAATGGAGAGGCACGCGCGGTTACGTTCCTAAGGCACGAAGGATCGCGAGGCTCTCGTGGCACGCTGCGGCCGGAAATTCCAAATCCGTTAAGGCTCGAGCGTGTTTTTTCCTAGTAGCGGGACGCGTTTGCAGTCGTGAGATGCCGCTCCTCGCTGAAAAACTTCGGCCGGAAAGTTGCTGCAAACTCGTTACGATTTCCTTTCTTCAAATAGGCCCCTTTGACACGTTCATTTCTCGCTCGCTTTGAATTTCTTTTTAAGCAGTTCCGCTTCTCCACCAAGCTGTGTCTTTCTCTCTCTTTTCCGCATCGAGGCCTGCTCTCCAGCTTCTTCTTCTTTTTTTTTTTTTCATGCTCGAGTGGGGAACTTTGCGACTGTTTGCCTTTCTAATGCGCAGCGACCGCCACAATTTCATCCTGTTCTCGCCTCGTCTCGGCGTCCCGCAAATTGTTTAACAAGTTCCCGCGGTTTCTCGCGTCTTACCTGCCGCGACGTTGTATTTGGCCACCTTCCAGACACCCGTCAAGACGACCAAGGGGAAAGAACATCGCGTGGAAGGGAGCACGGGGTTCTTAGCCACGCGGCGATGCGAAACTTCTCATTTTTAATTCGTTTCATTTTCTCAGGCTGCGCGTTTTGCGTACCTGGTACTTCGTTACGTACTTCGTAAAACGGTGTAATAGCATCGATATTCCTTTTTTGCGCTTCGTCATGGACGCGTCCATAAATTATTCTCGCAAAACGGAAAAGGACTCCAAGACTGTTGGGAATTTTCGACCACGTCTCGTCGATTCCTTTCCCCGGCGCATCGATACCGGAAGTCTGCGCGCGGAAACTCGTGTACCGGTCGATGAAGTTTCCTTTGGGGAAACAAAAAGCCATCGGAGCGCGACGCTGGATTCTTGGCAATCGTGGCTCGAGTAAACAGCGATCGCGAAGCTCATCCGCGGACCTCGTGGAACCATCTTCTTTGTGAAATATTAAATTTCATTTCGTGTAACTCGAGCCGCCCGAGAATGCCAAAGGCGTATCCTCGGGCGTTTTTACGCGTTCCCTTCCTTCCTTTGCCACGCGAAACTCCCCCGACATACCGGATCTACCTTCGATTCGTTTGCAAACGAATTAGTAATTCGCGAGTTTCCCCGTTCCCGGCACGAATTCATCTGATCTCTTACTCGCAAAGTTTCCCTCGGAGTAACGTTGATTCGATCGTTTAAAAGGAATGCTTCTCGAACGAAGTGGCACAATTTTAATTGCTGCTTCCTGACGCGGGAAATTAAACGAAGGATACATCGCGCATACCGTTCGCTCCTGCCTCGTAAATATCCAAGTAGCAAACGTTGAAAAATCACCGCGGAATTTATTCCGTTTACGTTTGCCATTTTTCCTGCCCCGGGGAAAATGTCCGATGCCGAAGACCATCGAAGAGCAGGATTCGATACGGTATAGCAATTATTCTCTTCACGGCAAAATTCCGTACCGCGGCACGCATTTTCCATGGGAATATGTTTACGAGACCGTAGCGAACGTGCAACCTCATTTATTTATCCTATGCGCGCCGCAATTTTTCCTTCGTTTGTTTGGTGTTGTTTCCTTGGAGTTCAACCAATCAATTTATGTAAACAATTTCATTGTTTAGTTCGTTATGATATATTTTAACAAGGGTTTTCCATAGACATATGAAAATATAGACCG